GTATCCTGACCCCGCCCTCCCCGCTGCCCACGCCCCTCCTCCCCGGTGCTCCCCTCCGCGTGCTCCCCGGTGCTGCGCCCTCCTCCTTGACTCCCCACCCATGCCCAGCGGACGGCCCGGAGCAGTGTGAGCTGGTCCAGAGACCGCGGTACCGGAGAGGCCCCCACATCTGTTTTGACTACAACGCGACGGTGAGTCGGGGGAGCAGCGCTGCTGGCGTCCGCGACCCTGCGCTGGCCGGGGGCCGACCGCTTCCTTGTCTCCCTTCCCCCCGCAGGAAGATACCTCAGACTGTGGCCGCGGAGCCTCCTTCCCGCCGTCGCTGGGCATCCTGGTTTCCCTGCAGCTACTGCTCCTCCTGGGCCTGCCGCCTCGGCCGCAGCCTCAAGTCCACTCCTTTGCTGCCTCTCGCCGCCTCTGAGCGACACACACACACACACACACACACACACACACACACTCACTCACACACACACACCCCAAACCCCCGCCTTGGCCTCCTACCCTTTCGCTCACCCTCCCATCCCCGCATCCCACATTCCCCAACCTGACGCCTGGGCCACTCCCTCACTGAAGGACCTGGGCCCCTCCCCTCAGAGCCTGTGCCTTGGGGGCAGGGGAACCCCAAAGTAGGGTGTCATGGTGTTTGGCACTCAAGATTTATCTCGCCCCTGAACTGTCCAAGTGCCCGAAGGTCCCCCCCCCCCCGACTCATCCCCTTGGGCTGGGGGAGGGAGGCCATATGTGCTGGAGCCAAACCAGGCCTCCACCGACCAACCTGCCTGGAGATTTCCTCTTTGTAGGCACCCCTGCCTCTGCTGGGTGCCTCTAACCTGACCCTACGGCCCCACCCATGCCCAAACTTACCTTCTCTGGGGGAAAATGGAAGAAGGTGAGATGGTAGTGGTGAGAGACAGATTCTGGGGCAGCCCCCCACAGGCTCCTGCTCCTTCCAGGCCTGCAACCACAGACCCACACACACCCCACTCTGGCAGGTGGCAGGACAGCCTCACAATGACATCAGTTTAGAGACACCCCATACACACCTGGACCCCTGAGAGCAGAAACTGGATTCTCACTAGACACACCCCAGAGGGAACACACACACAGACACAGACACACACTATGGGGGTGGGGGGGACCCACAAAGCCTTACGCAGGGCAAGAAGTCAGTGAGAGGATACGCCTGTGCATTTCATCTCTGTTCGCCTCTGCCTCGGCTCAGAGATGCAGCCCGGCTGGTCCTCCCATCTAAAGCTGAATGTCAAACAGTGCCAAACGCTGGGGGAAGGCCTCTTTGTTTCACCCCTAGCCACCAGTGTCCCTCAAGTGCCCCTCACCCTGCCAGGTGCTCATTGTAACCATTTCTCACTAGTGTCAGGCCCCGAGTAGGACCACACATCACTGCCTGAACCCCTCCAGACATTTGCTCTTTTCCTTAGCAGGAGTGACTTGATCTCTCCTGGCTGGGCCATCCCACCCCCAATCTGGTTCTTACACACTCAGGCCTAACTCCCTCCTCTGTTCTTCACACACACACACACACACACACACACACACACTCCCCTAGGAGGCCAAATTGTCCCTCCCTTGCTGAACACACAGTTCTACCGTGCACATAGGTAAACCCTGCACACACAAAGGCTGGGCCTGGACATCTCTTCACACCATTCATTCTCGTCATTTCTCCCAAAGGCATCCTAACCTGGGGGCCAGTAGGGGACTGAGGGCTGGGGGGTGTAGCCATGAGGCTCACATGGACTGGGAGGAGGGGGGAGGGTGATGCATTAATTAATGGCTTCGTTAATTAATGTCATGTTGCTTGTTGCTTTCTCAGTGTGCGTATGGTCCATGCCCAGTGCTGATGACAGGGTGGGTGTCCATGATGTGTGCCCGGCCTGGATGTCAGCTATGTCCTGTGGGGGCTCGTGTGTAACTGTAGTGTAGTCAGGTGCTCAATGGAGAATATAAACAAAAAAAGAAACAAACGTATACAGAAAAATAAATATATATTTTAAGTTTAAAAACAACAAAAAACGGACAAAACAATCCCCACCAGATAGTTGTCCATCCCCCAGCTGGGTTTGACCCTGTCATCACCCACCTGACCTGGCTGTCCTCTCAACTTGGGCTGAGGGACTTGGGGGGCCATTTCCTTTACTTTGCCCTTTTTTTTTTTTTTTTGGTTGTTATTCTATTTTGTACAGACAAGTTGGAAAAACAACAGCGACAAAAAAAAGTCGAGAAACTTTGTAAAATATCGTGTGTGTGATTCCTTGTAAAATATTTTCAAATGGTTTATTACAGAAGATCAGTTATTAAATAATGTTCATATTTTCACTTCAAACAGTCTTCATACACTGTGTGGGCCCTGGGCTGAGGACTGGGTAGCTATGGTGACAGGTGGTCCTGTTTCTCAGAGGCTAAAGAGCATTACATGCACCCCTAGGTGGACTTTGTTTCATATTACAAGGCTCCAGGAGAGAAACTGTCAAGAGGGGGTCGAAACAGCACCTCCCAGGGCCTCAAGGCAAGGCCAGGCTCTGTCGGTCTGAGATCCATCCATGGGATCAGACCAGGACCTAACAACAGACCCTCTACCTGAAGACAGGACACAAGTTAGTGCTCCAGCACCCACCCCTGCTGCCCTGAGGAAGCCAGGATCTGGCCCAACCACAAGCAAGTGGGGACCCCATCATGAGTCGGGGAGATAAGAAGCCAGAACAGTTCCTGCACACATGGTCCCTTCTGTGTGTGTGTGTGTGTGTGTGTGTGTGTGTGAGAGAGAGAGAGAGAGAGAGAGAGAGAGAGAGAGAGAGAGAGAGAGAGAGATAAACTGGAGAGAGACTGGAGAGAGAAGGGAACCAAGCTATCAATCTAGGTAGGAGGTTCACCTCAAAAGAACCAGGAGAGAGACTGACTGACTGACTGACTGACTGACTGACTGACTGACTGACTGACTGGGTCTCCCTACATGGGCCAGGCCAGGAGACTGGGGGCCACAGGCCTCCTTTCAGACTGGTACTTACCTCACCGGTGATCATCTTGTCAGACCATCAGTCCTCTGGACTTGTGTGATTACAAGTACACACTGGTTCACCAAGTACATTTTAATACTAACTCTAGTTTTATCCACTGCATTGTTTTATATTTGCTTATTTTGTGTGTGCACAGGTGCATACACATGCCATAGCACGAGCATAGGGGTCAGAGGACAACTGACAGCCTGCAGCTGATCTCACCTTTCACTGTGTTGTTCTGGTTGTCAAGCTTGGCAACAAGTGCCTGTACCCAGCCTGGCCCTGCATTCTTTTCTTGGGAAGAGAGCTAAAGCCATCAACATAGACCCTCCTAAATTGGATGTTCACTCTCTTCCTCCAAAGTCGCAGGGGCAGGGACTCATCACTGTGGGCTCTTGGACATTAACCAGCTAAGTCCTCAACATGATCTGAAGTATGGTTACCAGTATATCCCCAGAGCACAGATGAGCAACTAGGGAAGAGAAATTCTTCTGCTCACCAGAAGAGAAGGAGTAAAGAAAATCACTGGAAACTGGGTGTGGTGCCACCTGCCTGTAATCTACATTGGGGAAATGGACACAGAAAAATCAGGAGTTTAAGGCCATCCTTAGCTATACAGGGAGTTCCAAGCCAGCCTGGGCTACATGACACTCCTCAAAATTGAAAAAAGCAAATGTCAGCCGTGCTTTGGTGGTGCACACCTGTAATCCCAGCCCTCGGGAGGCAGAGGCAGGTGGATCTCTGTGAGCCTGGTCTACAAAGCCACAGAGAAACCCTGTCTCAAAAAAAAAAAAAAAAAGAAAAAAGAAAAAGAAAAAGAAAAAAGCAAATGTCTCAAGTGGCAGGGCTTAGAAGGTGGCTCAGCCGCTCAGTGCCTGAGTTCAGATTCTCAGCCCCCACGTTAAAAAGCGGGGTGCAGCCAGGCGGTGGTGGCGCACGCCTTTAATCCCAGCACTTGGGAGGCAGAGGCAGGTGGATCTCTGTGAGTTCGAGACCAGCCTTGTCTACAAGAGCTAGTTCCAGGACAGCCTCCAAAGCCACAGGGAAACCCTGTCTCGAAAAACCAAAAAGAAAAAAAAAAAAAAAAGCGGGGTGCAGCACTGGGGGCACCAACTAGCCTAGCTGGACTGATGAGTTCCAGGTTCAGTGAGAGGCCCTGAGAACAGTGTGTGATGACACATCCCTTCAATTCCAGCACTGCAGAGGCCAAGGCAGGTGGATCTGTTTGAGACCAGTCTGGTCTACATCATGAGTTCCAGACCACCCACGGCAGCACGGTGAGATCCTGTCTTAAAAATAAATAAGGTAGGAAGTGATACAGGACAACATCCAGCATCCGTCTCAAGCTACCATACACACCATACACACAATAGCATGAGTGCCTGCATGTGTACACACACACACACACACACACACACACACAGAGAGAGAGAGAGAGAGAGAGAGAGAGAGAGAGAGAGAGAGTAGGTGGAGGAAAACTTGGATACTAATATGTTAAAGGCCCTTCCCGTCCTAGCCAAGATAAGGTTTCTCTCGCTTCTCTGCAGGGCCTGACCACTACTCTCATACCTCAAAACAGCTCCCATGCCTTGAAACAACACACATGGTTTAGGGCAGCGTAGTCAGATCAAGTCCAGTGAGTTCTGATCTGCAGATAATCTTTTGTTGTTTCTTTCCAGGCAGAGTCTCATGTAGCCCACCCTGGCTTCAAACTCACTACATAGCTACAGATAGCCTTGAACTCCTGATCCGACTGCCTTTCCACCAACTGCCAGGATTATTGTCATGTACCACCATCACCCAGACTATGATAAATTTTTAATAATAGGGTTTTTGGCGGGGTGGTAGTGGTACACACCTTTAAACCCAGCACTAGGGATACATAGGTAGGCAGATCTCTGAGTTCAAGGCCTGGTCTACAGAGCAAGGGCCAGGGCATCCAGAGCTACACAGAGAAGTCATCTAGAAGACAAAACAAAGCAAAAGATTAGAAGAGCCTGTCATCATCACTATTTTAAGATATACGAAATTGCACTTCAAAAATGTTCGGGAACTTGGTCAATATCACATTGACTCCAAATGACGGAACAAGAGTTCTAGACCACCTTAGACTCTTATTTGCCAGACCACGGAGTTTCTCATTAGTTCACACACATTGATACAACACACCAGAACCATTCAACATCCTTATGTACCCGCTTACAAAAACACAGCTGTACCTCTAGAAATCACAGTCACTCTCCTCCAGAGAATTCAGCAAGTGTGTGGCCCAAAGCTGTGCTGTCTCCTGATCCCATGCACTCAACATCTGGCTTTCCCAGATCAGCAATACTGGTCCCCACTTCCCTAACCATACACACACACACACACACACACTCCCATAACCACACACACACACACACACACACTCCCCTAACCACACACACACACAACACCCATAACCACACACACACACACACACACACACACACTCACCTAACCACACACACACACACAACACCCACACCCATAACCCCACACACACACAACACACACACCCCCGCAAGAACTAGCGGAGTCAGCCCTGAGAACCACAACTCCCAAGCACCCTCGCCTTACCCTCTACGGGACCGGCTGGTCGCACGGCTTCTGGGAGTTGTGGTCCTATGCGGAAACCGGTCCGCTGGGTCCCACGGACTCCGTATCCCAGCATGCCGAGGAGCCGGAAGGCAAGCGCTCAGAGGGCATTCCGCCGCGGCGGCCGCCGGGGGCGCGCAGGCGCGGCGCCCCTGTTTGTCGGCCCCGGAGAAGGGAGGAGGTGCCGTCCAGTCAAAAGCCTAGCCCACCAGGAGCTAAACGGTCTTGACTGGGGCCGGAACAAGACACCAGTACCCCGCAGAGTCTCCGCGTGGATGGAGGAAGTCCAGCCTTGAGATCCACGCTAGCCCGGCCGCTGGGCCTACGGCGCCGGCGGACAAGCAGGCGGGCGGGCGGGCGGCGTGCCCGAGCGGCCCAGGGCCTAACCTCAGGTCTTCGGCCAGGGGCACAGACAGGCTCCCGCCTGGCAGCAAGGCTTTCTCTTCCCCTTGGAACTACAGCCGGACCAGACCGGAGCCAGAGCCCTCAGAGACCAGTGAGTAGCCGGGCCCGGGCCTCCCGTCGGGGCCGGACTGGGACGAGGCCCCGGGGAGGCCCCTAGGCCACCTTCCTCACTTTTCTCAAGACGCCGACGTCCGCCGGGAAGATGCAACGCGCTCTGCCCGGGGCCCGCCAGCATCTGGGGGCCATCGTGGCCAGCGCCAGCGTGGTGGTGAAGGCGCTGTGCGCCGTGGTACTGTTCCTCTATCTCCTCTCCTTCGCCGTGGACACGGGCTGCCTGGCGGTCACCCCGGGTTACCTTTTTCCACCCAACTTCTGGATCTGGACCCTGGCCACCCATGGACTGATGGAACAGCACGTGTGGGACGTGGCCATCAGTCTGGCCACAGTTGTGGTGGCCGGGCGATTACTGGAGCCCCTCTGGGGAGCCTTGGAGCTGCTCATCTTCTTCTCGGTGGTCAATGTGTCCGTGGGGCTTCTGGGGGCCTTCGCCTACCTCGTCACCTACATGGCTTCCTTCAACTTGGTCTACCTGTTCACTATTCGTATCCATGGCGCTCTGGGGTTCCTAGGCGGTGTCCTGGTAGCACTCAAGCAAACTATGGGGGATTGCGTGGTTCTGCGAGTGCCCCAGGTCCGCGTCAGCGTTGTTCCCATGCTGTTGCTGGCATTGCTGCTCCTGCTCCGCTTGGCCACGCTGCTCCAGAGCCCAGCACTGGCGTCCTACGGCTTTGGACTGCTCTCCAGTTGGGTGTATCTTCGCTTCTATCAGCGCCATAGCCGGGGCCGAGGGGACATGGCTGACCATTTTGCTTTTGCCACCTTCTTCCCTGAGATCCTGCAGCCTGTGGTGGGGCTGCTAGCGAACTTGGTACACGGCCTCCTGGTGAAAGTAAAGGTCTGTCAGAAGACGGTGAAGCGCTATGATGTAGGAGCACCGTCCGCCATCACCATCAGCCTCCCAGGCACAGACCCGCAAGACGCAGAGCGGAGAAGGTACTGTCAACTCTTCCAGACCAGCGGCTAGCTAGACTGTGGGTGGGCACATGCCATCCACTGAGGAGCTTGCTCTGCATAGGAACTACAGGCAGGAGTTGGGGGCAGCTTCACAAAGAGGACTCAGGAGCTCAGTATGAGGTTTCCAGGCTCTGGTGTGGGTTTCTCACCACTTGGGCCACTTAACCAGTCTGCAGACTGCCCGTCGCCTTGGTCTCGCCTCAGAATTTCTCAATTCTAGACACTGGTCCTGTAGGAAACAAAAACTGTTGGTCCCTTTCTCCTGTGATGGAAACAGGGAAGGACGTCTGTGTCCTCAAGTGTTTCCCTTCTTCTTACTAAGTTTACTCCTCTTTCAGGCACGTGTCACCAAACATAGGGGGACAGGCTGAATGACCCACTGCAGGCCTGAGACTTTTGTATTACCTAGCACCCAGGGCATCTGTTCCATCAGTAATTTCGATGCATTATTCACTGGACACTTTGGCTAAGGCAGGAGAAAGCTTTTTAAATTCACCTCTTACTTCCTCAGACCTGTAGACTCTTCACAGTGCTCCCAGCTGTGTCCAATGTTACCCTGAGACTTTTCGGGTGGTCTCTCACAAGCCTACTCAAGCATTTGTCAAAGGTTCCTGCCTTTGCTCACCTATAAAATGGGTTCCTGACCTCAGTGAAAGAATTTTCTCAGGTTTGTTCCACTGATGCTGTGGAGTTGAGTGTAGCTACCAGCTAGTGGGTGTGGGAACACACCCGGGCATGCTGCAGGCCAATTCTGAGCCCTACAGCTTGAAGGTTTTTGTTTTGTTTTTGGGGTGGGTGTGTGTGTGTGTGTGTGTGTGTGTGTGTGTGTGTGTGTTTTGGGATGGTTCCTAAAGACAGTTCCATCCTGACATTTAGTAGAGGAAATAGGCTGGGGGGCTGAGCTTTTGAGCTGTTAAGATGGGACTGGGCCAGAGGTTGCCTTTGCCCCAGTGAGGTCTTGAATGGCTGTGGGTGATTCAGAAAATCACTATCTAGGATCAAGAAAATGGACAGAAAAGGAAGAGTGGGGATTGGGGCAGCAGGTGGGTTCCTGGCCTAGTCTGATGGTTCTTGGCTTACACGGAGCTTCCAAACTGTCTGTCATCTAACTGTATGCCACTCTCAGACCCAAAGGGCCACAAGTAGGAAATGGGATTTCCTATAGTTCTCTGGCCCTTGACAAACTGACTGCTGGCAAGGACATCTCCAGAAGTAACCTGGGGAGTGACTGGGAAGGAGTGTGACTGGGCCAGGTTGGAGTGTGTGGGGTTTTTATGCCCATGGCTCTGCCGCTTTTCCTTGGCATGGCAGAAAGTTTGATCTTGGAAAGCTATAGGAAGACTGCCTTTAGTGGTAAATAGGCTGAGCCATCAGGATTCACAGTAACCAGCTAGAAGTGGTCACTTGACCTTCTGTGGGCCAGAGTGCTGACCACTTGGGACCTTGTTCTCCACTGAGGCTGTGAAGCTCAGTGTATAGGGCGCATCTTCCTTGAAGGAGTTTCCAGCTGGTGTCCAAGGCGTGCTGCAGGCTAATTCTGGGCCCTACAGCATGAGTCTTTTGAGGTATCTATATAAAATTTCCAGCTGTATTTTCCCACCTACTTTTCAAAAGGATGAAAACAGTAGGCTTTGCCTGTGTTGTGCCCACATGGGCAGTTTCTCTTCTATGAGGGCTCTGCTAAGGCCTACATGGCTTTGGGAAACATCTAGGAAGATTATTATGGTTAGGAAGGGTGAAATGATCCAAGTTGATGCTGCTTCATTAACCCCTCTTAGCTGAGCCTGGTGAGACAGGTCTGTAATCCCCGCTGCTCAGGAGGCTGGGACAGGAGGTTCATGAATTCAAGGTCTGCCTGGCTACAAGAGCTAGCTTGAAGCCAGCATGAACAATTTCATTAGCAAGACTTGCCTCAACAAACTGTTTTTTGTGTTAGTTTTAAGGGCTGGGAATATAGCTCTTTGGGAGACTGCTTGCCCTAGTTTTAATCCCAAGAACCACAAAAGTAATTGACCCTGTCCCTGGATAGGACACCAGTACGCAGGCAGAAACTCATCTCCAGGGACTAGGACATTCCACTGTCTGCCCTGAAACACTAGATCCATCTTTAGCCAACACACTCGGAAGCGTACCTGGTGGCTGGCCTGGGAGGTAGGCAGCCTTCTCAGCCTGGAGGTGCCTCGGCTACAAGGGAGCTCCTCATTCTAACTGGCAAAGCAGACCCTGATCTTGGACCCTGCATGAGGAAGGGAAAACATGGGATTCTGGGTACAAATCTCTTTGGTGGGAGGAAGGTTGCAGTGTGTGGTCTCCTAAGCCCAGTGTGAACTGTCTTTTCGTTTCTGGCTTTAGGCAACTGGCCCTAAAGGCTCTCAATGAACGGCTGAAGAGAGTAGAGGATCAGTCTGTCTGGCCCAGCATGGATGATGATGAAGAGGAAGCTGGGGCAAAAAAGGACAGTCCTCTGCCCTCAGAAGAAGCTTCCACTCCTCCAGGGAAGGGGACTACCCCAGAATCCAGTCTCATTACCTTTGAGGCAGCTCCCCCAAAACTGTAACTCCAAACCTGAGTGTAGCTCCTCTACTCCCATGCCCTCCCCGATACATCTCAGCTACTCCAGGGCACTGACTGCTCTGAGGAGGGGAAGAGGGCCTGCTGGGGGTTTCTTTGGCCTTCTGCTGTTTCTTGACAACACTACATGGGACCCTTGCTACCTGGTTGCAACTCCAGACAACCACAGTGCCAGGTATGGGGTCTCTCAGCATCGGCCAGTCCAGACCCCCATCCGTGGTAAGACTGTACCTCAGCAGGCACAGTTCCTCACCAAGGAAGTGGCTGCAGGGACACTGGTGGCACTGCTCCTGGGCCAGCCCCCACATCTGAAACTGGTTGCCAACAGACCTCAGCCAAGGCAAGGATTTATATTTGCCAAAAATGTTCTGGGGCTCAGCTAGGATGGGCCTGCACATGTCTGCCCACCCCAGACTGCGTCCATGCAGGCTTTCTTGTGCCCTTCTGCTGTGGCGGTGACTGTGTCTAGCCAGAGACACCACAGCTCCCAGGTATTTTCTACAGGACCAGCTGAGTGGGCAGCCAAGCCCAAACTCACAGTATCAATAAATCGGTTCTTTAAGGTGTGGCTCTTGGGCTCCATCAGGCCACCTTGTGCAGCCCTCTCTTCCTTACCAAATGCAAAATTAAAAGTGTTTTCTGGGTCCGTGGCCACTCCACCTGGCTAAGAACCCCATTGCCCACCTGCTGTCTGCTACATGGCTGCTGCTCTTGTCAGAGCCGTCACCTCAGTCCCTTGCTCCTTTTGTCTCTTTTCGGTCCATTGGAAAGGCCCTGTGCAAGAGCACCTGACAGCTGAAGGCCTCCCCATCCTGAGGAGTTGTCTTAGGCAGGGCATGGTGGTACATGCCCATAATCCCTACTGCAAACAAAAAACCTGAGCCTGAAGGTGGAGCTCAGTCGGTAGAGCACTTCCTTAGCAGCTACAAAGCTCTAGGTTTGAGTCCCGGCACTGCATAAGACGGGCATGGTACACATGATGTATCTGTACAACCTATATTCCCAGCATCAGGGTGGAGGCAGGAGGAGCTGAAGTTGGCCACATAGTGAGTTCAAAGCCCATCTGGGAGACATGAAACCTTGTCTCAAAATCAAAAGGAAAGTTTGTTGTTTTTGTTGTTTTTTTTTTTTTGGGGGGGGGGGGGGGTTGTTCATGAATCAGCTTTATTTTTCAAGACAGGTTCTTTTTATTTAGCCCTGGCTGGC